CCTGGCTGCGGCTCCGGCTGAGCTGGGGCCTCCCATCCCAGCTGGGCTCCATCGCCGCTGTCCCCCAGCCTGAGCTGCAACCACTGATGCACGTCCTCAGGCTTCACCTTTTTTTTTTTTTTTTTTTTTAATTTTTTTTTCTTTTTTTTAATTTTTCCCCCCTTTTTTTCTAGGCAGGGTGACCCAAAGGCAGCCCCACGCAGTCCCTACACCGGCACATACGCACGCTCAGTCCCGACTTGCGTTTGTCACTCCTTGCACAGGCACACGCTTGGCCATGTCAGGTCCATTTCCCAGTTTGCCTTCCTATTATATTTTATATTACCTCTGGTGAGCTTGTGCCAGAAGAAAGCAGAAGGAGGAGCTGTTAGAAAGGCTTTTTCGCTTTAAGATTCAAGAGCACATTTTTAGCATTAACTTTTTAGGCTCTGGTCATAAAACGCTGGAGCGTGCGTACAGTTTTGTGGGTGAATTTGCAGCGTTTCCAGAGGGCCGCAGGAACAACAAGCCCGTGCTGACAGCGCCCAGCTCACAACACGCTACTTGAAAGGCAACCAGTTCTTAATTTGCAAATCTCAGCAACAATAAGCTATTAAAATATGAAATTATGAACAGCACGATACTGTGCAAAATAAATAACAAGTCTCCAGTGAATGGAAGAAATTATTGGCAGGGGTACAGCCACCATTACCAAATCTCAGAAATGTAAACACTAAAGAAAAAAAAAAAAAAAAAGAAAAAAAAAAAGAGAAAGTTACAAGCGCCATAACTTTCCTTCCAAAAACGTCAAAACGCGGGTGCATGTCTGCGGCGCAGAGGTAGATGCTGGTGCTTCGGCCTCGCGTGTAGTTTCAGTTGCAGATCGCCACTACCGACGCGAAGACAGTAAGTTGCCTTGACCAATCCACGTGATTCCACTTCTACTCTTTCCTATCTATGCCAGCTCTTATTAAACCTAAAATATGTGAATTTGCTGTTTCAATTAATCTATACCGTTTCCTTTTCGTGTCACTGTTCCGTAAATGCTCTGCCCTGAGAGAATGTATCGTTTTTCAGTGTAAAGCATATTTCAACTCAGAAAATGTATTTTGCATTTACTAATCATCTTTATGGTTTCTTTAGTCAAACCAGCTGCTATATAAAAAAAAAAAAAAAAAAGAAATGCTTTCTCAGTCGGCTGGCTCATTCTGTGTTACGTGTGCTCAGGGCTGAACTGTAAAAGTTGAAAATGAAAAGAAAAAAATATCTTTTCTCGTAGTTTCTGAAAAAGTTATTTAAATGGGTTTTAATCAGCTACCTCGCATGAGCGAAATACCTAATGCTGTGCTGGAAATAGCAGGCTGTCTCACATTCATTTCCCATACGTAAGGAATTTGATTAGAAAGAATGATTTCTAATTGAAGCTTTGTGTCTGGTTGTGATTCTTTCAATACTGTCAAGGCAATTAAATCAGCTAAAGATAATCTTTAACGTTCACCTGATGCAGTTAATTAAGCGGTGAAAAATGAAACGCTGATTAAATGAATCAAATCCTATGTTGCAGGTAGCAAAGTTTAAATTGGAAACAAGAATTCACCACTAGTTGTTGCTTTGCTATTTTAGATATTTCACTTTAAAGTAGAGCTTTCTTAACCTCACTTCACCATTAAAATATTTCATAGTGGCGTGTGTTATCCGCAGACCAAAGCAAAGCTTGATTTAAGAAACACCTAATAACTCATCAGCATAATTGAAAACAAAATGCTTCACTGCGTCCTTCCTCCACCTATTCCTGCCTTTTTTCCAACACGCAAGGAGAAATAACGATTCAGCCCAACAAAGAGTGGATTTAAGTGCAATAAATGAAAAGAAAAAGGAAACCACTGAAGATCCTGGTTCAGCATACAAGTATCAGGAGTTCGAGGAAAGTGTATGAGAAGGCAAAGCAATGTTCATGCACGTGTGCATTCAAATCCAAAGCCCCATGCACACAACTTCATTGGCAGCATTATCAGTTTCGTATCTTTTTTTCCCCATTAATTTCACATTACAGCATCTGATCAACGCAACCGTTTCACGTAGCAATCCAACTGAACTGGAACAGGAGCCAGAAAATGCTACTAACCCCAAATCAGCAAACACAGGCTTTGTATTCCTAAGCAAGCAGTCTCAATTTTTATCAGGTACAAGAGAAAAAAAAAAAACCAGGGGGTTGTTCATGAATTGAACAACAACGTGGAAAAATAGAAAATTCATATTATCTGCAGCCCATAATCAAAATGACTCTATTCTGCATTTCACATCTGTGCCTTATCTTTTACCGTAACAGCAAACAGGCCAAAATCTGTTGTGAATTGCTGGTAATTTTTTTTTCCATTGACACCTTAAAGTTCCTTAAAAAAATAAGTCCAGAAAGTGAACACCACATACCTGATCACTTATCTGACATGCAACAAGGTTGTGCTGATTGTAGCATCCAGCAAACTTGATATATTTGAGCCAGTTTCCTACATCTGGTTGACTGGCATCTATGCAGAACTTCACATTGCAAAACTCATCCAAGATCTAAAAGGAAGAATAGGAAAGTGTAAATCTTTCTGTCACTGCCTGGGCATACTGATCAAAAGACAAATCACAGGTTTCCAGATAAACAAATGAATAATAATAATATAGGCATGTCTAGTCAGAAATACCCTCCTCTAGTGAGATTATTTTTTTTTTTAGGAACGACCAGAATACATACATATTAATAAAAGCACAGTAAAATGCTAAACAATGTCTTGACAAATGTTTACATGTAGTCGAGATGTTGTCTAATTATTGCTAAGCAATACTACGTTAATTTAAGGGCGATCTGATTTTTTGGGGCATTCATCAGTAACTACTTACATTTAAAATTACTGTTTTAATTAAATACGATCCCGCCAGGGAATGTAACAAAAATTATTAAAATAGCCGGCGTTGGCTTCATTTGAGGTTTGTGTTTTGTTCCAGGATTTACGCTGTTTGCAGCACCCACTTAGTCTTTCTGTATTTGTTCCTCTGAACCAAACTTTATTCGGTAGGCAGAGTTATTTATCTCGTTTCAACATTACGCTTCCCAAACGCTTCCCTTCCGTGCAAACACTTAAATCACTCCCCTTAATTGCAGCAAATCACAGAACTCCCTATGCCAAACTAAAGAAAATAAATGAAAAACAATGTAAACACTCATGCAAAACATGGCAGTATTCAATACATACCAATAAATGGTTCCAATTATGCAGACAATAAACAAATATAATGAGATTGCTTGTGGACCAGCTAAAGAGGATGTTCTATTCTAATATTATGACAAATTGCTAATCGTTACATGTGACTGAGTATCATTATTTATTTGCACGCTTTACCACCGGCCTATCCTAAACTTTCCACAGCATCCCAGTAGCTCACTGCTACCTTTGCAACTCCTCCAGCCGGGCACCGGCAGCAAACCACCCGATTTTATTGGGAAAAAACCCACAATCACCTTAAATCGCACGCCCCAAAGGCAAGGGGAAGGGGAGAGGGAGGCTGCTTCCCGATGGGAAACGTTTGTGCCCACGTCCAG